TTCCTAATATTGTTGTATATAATAACATAATACATGGTATGTGCAAAGCTGGGAAGCTCGATGATGTAAGAAAACTCTACTTGTATCTTTCTGCTAATAGGTTTAAACCTGATGTCCGTACATACAATATAATGATCAGTGGGCTTTGCAAGGGAACGCTACTTGATGAAGCAAGCGAGTTGCTAATGAAAATGGAAGAAGAGGGATGCTCGCTAGATTTTTACTCGTATAATAAATTGGTTCAAAGATTTGTACAAAATAATGGAATGCAGAAAGCATTGCAACTGCTTCACGTAATGGATGATAGAGCTATCTTTGTGGACCCATGCAATGTAACCTTGCTAGTTAACCTGTTATCTGATGATCGATTAGATAATTCATCAAAGGAAATGCTTCGTGTGTTTTTTGGAACTCCTTCATTTTCCAAGTAACAACCTAGGTTTTCTGGAGCTACTTTGTTTTCTAAGGATCATAATGAGTCAAGGTGTTGCATTGATATATATGCTTTATTGATAATTGTTGTTACTTGTAACTTGTAAGTTGATTTAACTCATACATACTTGCTTAGATATTGCATTTTATATAAAGGCCTGTTTTGTTGCTTTGAAATTTTCATCCTTCTTTTTTTTTCTTCCACATATATGGTTTTGTGAACTCTGCCGGGGTTGTTAACAACTCCGTCGGTCCCAAGCCCGGGTTAAGGATGAGGGTTGTGTGTTAGGTAGCCGACAGCCAACACATAAAAAAGCCGCTCGGATCTTTTATGAAAATGAATCCTATTTTGAATCGTTTAAACGCTAGGTCGTTCCCCTCAAGTGACGCGTTGCGCCTGCCTCCGGGTGTTTCGAAAAGTGAGTAAGGGGCGCCGTATCGACGCCTGGGTGCGGTGAAAAATGGGCAAAGGTTTCTGCGTTTTTCTGGACGAGCGTAGGTAAAGAAGCTAGTCCAAGACTATAGGTTTAGGGTAGCCACTTGGAACATAGGAACCTTAACTAGTAAGACGGTGGAATTGATAGATGTTATGATTAGGAAGAAAGGTAGTATAGGTTGCATATAAGAAACTAAGTGGACGGGAGAGAAAGTTAGGGAAATTGAGGATACCGGTTTTAAACTATATTATAGTGGTAAGGATAGACGTAGGAATGGGGTAGGAATCATAATTGCCAAGGGTCTTGTGGAAAGTGTGGTGGCAGTCACTAGGAAAGGAGATATGATTATGCTAGTTAAACTAGTTATTGAAGAGAATATAGTGAACGTTATTAGCGCATACGCCCCTCAAGTAGGATTAGATGATCAGACTAAGAGGGATTTTTGGGAGCAAATGGATGGGATCTTACAAGAGATACCCGTAGGAGAGAACCTGGTTGTAGGTGGAGATTTTAATGGCCATATGGGCATAGATAAACTACGTTATGAAAGGGTTCATGGTGGATACGATTTTGGTGACAGAAATGAGATTGGAGAGAGTATCTTAGATTTTGCATTGGCTTCTGACCTGGTGGTGGCCAATACTATGTATAAGAAGAGAGAAGAGCATTTGATAGCCTTTAAGAGTGGATTAGTTAAGATCCAAATAGATTACTTCTTAGTGAGAAAAGTGGACCGCCTAAAATGCAATGATTGTAAGGTGATTCTTGGAGAGAGCCTGGTCTCTCAACATAGGATTTTGGTACTAGATTTATGTCTTAGAGGGCAATACCAAGCTAGGAAGGATGGTGGGCGTCGTAGGACGAGATGGTGGGACCTAAAAGGGGATAAACTAGAAATATTTAAGAATCGAATGGATAAGGAAGGTACTTGGGACTTAGAAGGTGATACTAACACTATGTGGAACTCGATGGCCAATTGTATGAGGAGAATCTCAAGGGAAGTGCTTGGAGAGTCGAAAAGAACGAGACCCAGCTCTAGGGAAACTTGGTGGTGGAGAGAAGAGGTTCAAGCGGTAGTTAAGGCAAAAAAAGAGTTCTTTAAAAAGTGGTAGAAGGATAGAACTGAGGAAAACCTTAAGAGCTATAGATTGGCTAATAAGGAGGTCAAGAAAGTAGTGAGAGAGACTAAGTTGAAAGCTTATGATGACCTATACACTAGACTAGATAGTAAGGAGAGAGAGAAGAGGGTATACAAATTTGCGAAGATACGGGAAAGGAAAACAAGAGATTTTAATCAAGTAAAGTGCATCAAGAGTGAGGATTCTAAGGTATTGGTGAATGATGAAAAGATTAAGGAAAGATGGAAGAATTATTTTGAGAAACTATTAAACGAGGAACATGGAGGTACGACAATAGGGGAAGAAATAGCCATTAATACGATAAACCAAGACTATAGGTTCTATCACAGGATTAGGAATTTTGAAGTGGACATTGCACTTAAGAAGATGAAATCAAATAAAGCTTTAGGACCCGATGATATCCCTATTGAAGCTTGGAAGTGTTTGGGTAAAAAGGGAATTGCTTGGTTGACTAGATTGTTTAGCAAAATTTTGCTGACTAGGAACATGCCAGATGAGTGGAGGAAGAGTATTTTAGTGCCAATCTATAAGAATAAAGGTAATGTCCAGAATTGTAACAGCTATAGAGGTATCAAGCTAATGTGTCATATAATGAAAGTGTGGGAGAGGGTGATGGAACCGCGATTGCGAGATATAACGGAGGTGTCAGAGAATCAATTTGGGTTTATGCCTGGTAGGTCAACAATGGAAGCGATCTATCTTTTGAGGAGAGTAATAGAAAAGTATAAAGAAAAGAAAAGAAAAGAGGCATTCATATAGTGTTTATTGACGTTAAGAAAGCATATGATAGAGTGCCTCGGAATATAATATGGTGGGTGTTAGAGAAGAAAGGGGTGACAAAGGGTTACATTGACGTGATTCGGAACATGTATGAAGGGGTGGTGACCACTATTAGATTGCCAGCTGGAGAGACAAATGAATTTCCTATCACTGTAGGGTTACACCAAAGATCTACCTTAAGTCCTTATCTTTTTGTTTTAGTTATGGACGAGTTGAAGAGAAATATTCAGGATGACATGCCATGGTGTATGCTTTTTGCAGACGATATTGTGCTAGTGGATGAGACTAGAAAATGAGTTAACACAAAGTTGGAGATTTGGAGAAAAGCTCTTGAATCTAAAGGATTCCGAATAAGCAGAACTAAGACAGAGTTCATAGAGTGTAAATTTAGTAACAATAACAATAAAAGCAAAGGGGAAGTGAAGATTGAGAACCAAGAACTGCCTAAGAGTAAACATTTTCGTTATTTAGGATCGATTATCACAACAGCGGGAGAGATTAATGCAGATGTGGCCCATAGGATTAAGGCGGGATGGTGTAAATGGAGAAGTGCGTCTAGGGTATTGTGCGATAAACGAATACCCACTAGACTAAAAGGTAAGTTCAATTGAACGACTATTAGACCAGCTATGTTCTATGGGACAGAGTGTTGGGCAACCAAGAAACAACATGTAGATAAGATAAGTGTGGCTGCGGTGAGGATGCTAAGGTGGATGTGTGGTAAGACTAGACAAGACAGAATTAGGAATGAGTGTATTCGAGAATGGGTAGGAGTAGTACCGATAGAAGATAAGTTGAGAGAGAATCGATTAAGATGGTTTGGTCATATTCAACAGAGACCAACAGAGGCAGTAATGAAGAGATGCAATGCTGTAACAGTAGATAGAAGTGTTAGGGGACAGGGTAGGCCTAGATTAACGTTGGCTAGAGTTATAAATAGAGATATGAATGTACTTAATTTGACTAATGAAATGGCCTTTGATAGGGCCGCGTGGAGAAGAAGGATTCATGTAGCCGACCCCATTTGATGGGACTTAAGGCTTGGTTTGGTTTGGTTTGGTTTGGTTTGACGAATTCCAGATGAACACAAGTAAGATCAATGCTCTTATATTTAGTTGATTAAAGAATCCTTCAATGCTAGAAGAAAAAGAAGCAGGATTTTCGTTAATTTTGAACTTGATTTATGGTTCTGTTCTACTTGTTTTTATTTTTCTAAAATTTTTTTGGCATTATAAAAGCAAAAAAATGTAGGGGACATCTTTATCTATCTATTCAAATTGATTCGGCATTTCTTTGTTCTTATCTACTAATTTAGCATTAATTTTCTAGTTTGTATTGCTGACGAGATTTTATATATTATTGCATGCTCAAAGATAAAAACAATAATTCAATTGACAACTCAGGGAAGTCCGACATTGTTATATGCTATTGTAAATAAATGATATCTTAGAGTATGTATAGAAAAAGAAATGCATAGAAGCAATAGATCTTGATTTATTCATATGCAAATTTAAGCCATTGACTATTAACTTATTTGTACTTGTTGTCCATATTACCACATTTCAAATGGAAGAATCGGAAAAGCCATGGTTTTAAAAAAAAAAAGCCCAATTAGTACACATTAATATGTGTTTGGGAAGGGAAAGATTGAGTACACACCTAACCTTTGGCATAATGCACAAAGTGGTGGCCTCAAGACTTGAACCCATAACCTTAAGATTATTAGGCCAAGTCTTAACCTTTGGAAAAGCCATGGTTTACTTTGCAAAGATCATATTTTATACTTTTTCTGGCTGTTATGCTCTTGCTTGTTTCTGTCTGAAAGCCTGTTGGCATTGGTCTTGTTCTTATATTATTTAGGTTCAGTTGCGCCATAAATCTGCTAGATTGCTTGGCTACTCAAACTATGTAGACTATGCTGTTAATCATAGACTGGCAAACTCATCCTCAAAGGTTTGTACATGTTTATATCACTTCCTGATGTACTATCTTGTAGTAAACAACATTTTTGATGATTTATTCTCTAATTAAATGTTTATTATGTAATTGTAATTTTATTTACGTGCTTTCACCCATGCTTTCTTTGATAATACAATTATTGGTAAAGATTAATTTTCAGATCAACTGATTAGATAATCATACTCATTGGTATTATTGTACTTTCTTGGGTAATTGAAGACTTTTGTGTTGTTTAGTGAAGCAATTCATTTATTTGTTGAACTGAGAATGGCCTACAGATTGGTTATATACTTATTTCTTCAGTTTACAATGGTACATAAATTGCTGAAAAATGATCAAGGAAAATATCTTATTGTTATTAACTTCCCGACCAAATTACTGATTTCTCATTTTGAATCATCATTCCATTATTGTTTGTTTGTAATATTTTCCTACCAATCCTTTCATAAAGCTGATTTTTCTTGATGAGCATGATGCTGTTGTTTTCAGGTATTTGAGTTCTTGGAGGAACTCTCTGCCAGTTTAACTGACTTGGCCACTAGAGAACTTAGTATGTTAAAAGACTTGAAGGTTAGTTTTTGCTTAGTCTATATCTTGTTATGCCAAAGTGTGTTTTATGTCTTTATAGTCTGTGTTTTTCTGGTACATCAGAAAAAAGAGGAAGGAGATTTTCCTTTTGGAATTGAGGATCTGTTGTACTACGTGAAGAGAATTGAGGAACAACAATTTAATTTGGGCGCTGGAGCTCTTAAACAATACTTTCCGTTCAATTTGGTCATGTCAGGGATCTTGAAAATATGCCAAGACCTTTTTGGTAATTTCATGATGTTTCCATTTCTTGACTTAAGTATTTTGCTTGGCTAATTCATTTACTAAGTTCTTATCTTTCTTTGCTTCATGCAGGTTTAAGATTTGAGAAATTGCAGATACTGAGGTTTGGCACTCTGATGTTCACCTTTATTCAGTCTATGACTTATCTTCTAGTGAACTTTTGGGCTATTTCTACCTTGATATGTTCTCTAGGTTCATTTATTACTCATGGTTTTATTAATTCTAGTGGACATCAATTTATGGGTGGTTCACATATATGATTTAGAATGAAATGAACTTACGTTGTATCTTCAAACAGGGAGGGAAAATATGGTCACACCTGTGTTGTGGCTCTTCAGAATGGTTCTTTTGTCAATGGTGCATGAAAGGTGATTGTAATACGCTATTAAGTTTGAGTTTTCTAAACTTATTGTTGTTGTGATGTTGAACTCAAATTTTGGGTACCTGCAAAGCATTTTATTTTGGGATACATTCTATTTTGTTTAGTAAGGACAGGATCAAATGCATAAAGCATGTTTGATTAGCATGGTAGAATTACATTTTTTTTAGTTTTCAATAGAAAAAACGGCAAAAATTTATGTTGCCTGATGTATATCTGCTTTGTTTTGGATTTCCTTGCCACCATGAGAGTTTGTTTTGTACTTGAAAATTCTTCTCAGGGTTCAGTTGGATGCCATTATGTCTCTAGTAATATAGGTGTTGGTTTTTTTGATATAAATGTTATACATGGTTGGGTAGTAGAAGACATAGTCCACAACTTCTCATATATGTTAAAAGTATCGTAAGCTGATCATAATTTTAATATGTTACTGATTTATCCTCAATTTCTATATGTAGATTCCTGTGGCATTACTTACTTCTCATACTGCGTTGTCGAGATTCTCTGAAGTGGTTAATCTTTTCCATGAATTTGGCCATGCGGTATGTCGATATCTGCCTTTTGAATGGTTTCTGTGGAATCAAACTCAAAATTCTATTTCCCTTCTATTTAGCGCTATTATTAAATTCTTACACTATTAGATATGCTTTATAGTTTCTTGCTTGTGTGAACCATTTTTTTATTTGTCTGAGTCTTATGTTTGTATTGTTACCTGTTTCCTTTGATTCTAATACATTCTTATTCTATTCCAGCTTGTTTTTCCACTATGCCTGGTTAGCCATGTTTGTTGGAAACGGGACTAAACCACCTAGTTGATCAATAGTCTGTAAATGTCATTTTGGTTGAGTAATTTTACTATAAATGTTTCTCTATACCAATTTGCATATGAAAAACTAAAATTCCTTTTCATCTAAACTTCTATATATTAGCCGTGTTTATTGTGCCTGTAAAAGAAAGAAACTCGACAAGCACAACATAATTAGCAACACTTGTTCAAAGCGACATCGAATGCAGACAATCGCGGTGTCGATGGAAAAGTGCATCGCAATGCGGGGAGAAATGCGCGTAACAACGCAAGCTAAGCATGAGGGTATGACAATACTCATGAAACGTGCACAATAGTATGAGTGGTGTGCACGAGAATGCAAGTGACGTGCATAACAATGCAGAACAAGTGTGAATTTGAATGCATGTTTGTCACAAAACGACGATCAAAGAAATGCAAGCTTTTGACGAGGGCGACTCAATCGCGACCTCCGGTTCACCTCCCGGAGGGGTCGCAACACGTTCAAAAAGGATTCACCTTGCTTTTGGCGAGTGACGGTGAGATACACATCGAAAATTGGAGTTGAAGTTCCGACGAAGCGATAGTGCACTTTGCTTGTGCTTTCTTGGGTCCTGGGGACTCCAATCCTTACCAAAATTTGCAGAGACCTTAGGGGCCACATGGGGAACACCACTGGCCAGTTTTCTTCCCAAGGGGAGGCCACCGACCAGGTTTGAGGGAGAGGGGTGGCCGGCCTGCCAGAAAAGGTGGCCGGCCGGCCACTTTTCCAAAACCGTGGGCAGTTTGGTCTTTTTGCCCTCATTTCTTTAAATCCATTCGGCCAAACACTTTTTCCTCACAACTCCAACTCTAAAATTGCCTCCTCTACCTTCCTAGAGCATTTTCTCTCTCAGATCTGTGCTCTATACGCGTTTTCCAACGCCCCACGCAAGTTGTTTTCACGAAATCTTTTAGTTTTCGTCACTTTAGACCGATTAAATTTTGATTTCAGTGCTTCTTTTCTCATTTTCACCACTTGAGGTAAGTTTGTCTCCACATTTGGAAGATTTCCTCGGGGGTTGACTTTTGTTGACTTTTTCATTTCTCGAGAGTTGACTTTTGTTGACTTTTTCCAATTTTGGCTCATTTTGCTCATTTTTGCTCCTTTTTGCAGATTTTCTAAAATGGCTGGTCATTTCCCTCACGGTGGAGGTCCTCCGGGCGCCAGGGATGATCCCGATATCATGGGTCTGCCTCCGAGGGTTCGACCCTTCATACTCGAGAGGTACGACCCTCCGACACATGTGCTCTCCCAGGCAATTTTCTACCATTTTACCGATTTCGATGATCGAGCACCCGAGGATCTTTTATTGTGGGAGCCGGAGTCCCACCTCTCCCATCAGGCACAGGAGGTATGTTCCTCGCTTTCATATTTTCTACGATGTAACCTGCATTTTCCATGCATTCCATGTTATGTTTATCTGCTCATTTGAGTGCACCGCTTGTTTAGAATGCTTTAGTCTATGACACCGTATTCTGTTTGCATCTTGAACACATAGTTCAATCACTTGAATTTCTGAACACACGGTCCATGAGTTGAAGGTGAACACATAGCACACACACTTGTTAGAAAGTTGAACACGCAGCCCAAACTTTGAATTTCCGAACAAACAGCCTGAATGGAAGGTGCACACACAGCACACACTTGATAGAAGGTTGAACACGCAGCCCAAACTTTGAATTTCTGAACACACAGCCCAAATTAAGGTGAACACGCAGCCCACTGATTTTGAAATTTGAACATGCAGCCCAAACTTTGAATTCTTGAACACACAGCACACACTTGACAGAAGGTTGAACACGCAGCCCAAACTTTGAATTTCTGAACACACATCCCAAATTAAGGTGAACACGCAGCCCACTGATTTTGAAATTTGAACATGCAGCCCAAACTTTGAATTTCTGAACACACAGCCCAGATTGAGGGTGAACACACAGCCTACTGATTTTAAAATTTGAACACACAGCCTAAACATTTGACGTCGAACACGCAGCCCGAACTTTGAGGTGAACACGCAGCCCACTGATTTTGAAATTTGAACATGCAGCCCAAACTTTGAATTCTTGAGCACACAGCCCAGATTGAGGGTGAACACGCAGCCCACTGATTAACAGGTTGAACACGCAACCCAAACCTTGAATTTCTGAACACACAGCCCAGATTGAAGTGAACACGCAGCCCACTGATTTTGAGATTTGAACACACAGCCCAAATACTTTATTTGTACGCAGCTCATTGCATTGTATCTGTTATAGTTTGCACACAACTCATACATTTCATTTGCACACAGCTCATTTATTTCATTTGCACGCAACTCATTTATTTCATTTTGAGACTGAATATATGTATTCATTCTGAATACAGGTGACTTCCCGTATCGCACGAGGATACGGCTCCGCTGTGGCTAGGGAGTGGTATGCGGAGCTCCCAGAGGCTATCCGGGATTTGGTTGACTTGGCAGGGTTTGGGCCCTTCTGCTCTGGGATATCTCGTTGTCCGGCTAGTAAGACGCTGATGGGTGCTTTGGTGGAGAGATGGTGGGACACCACCAACTCCTTTCATTTCTCTGCCACTGGGGACATGACTATGACCCCATTTGACTTTGCCGTATTGACCGGCCTTGATGTGGGAGGCTGGGCGATCCCATATGACGAGGACATGGGCCAGTGGGAGGCCGCCTGGATCTACTTATTGGAAGCTCGCCCGCCAGTTGACAGATCTTCGGACAGGGTCCGATATACTTGGTTTTCTTCCCATTTCCGGAGGGTGGAGATGGAGCCTGAGACTCTTGAGGAGGTAGCCCAGTATACCCGTGGATTTCTGATGTTCCTCTTCGGGACCACTTTGTTTGTCGATAGGGGGAACACTGTCGGGCTCTATCTGCTGAGTGCCCTAGTGGACCTATCACAGGTCCGGCGGTATGATTGGCGTGGCGCTAGTCTGACAACTTTTTATTGCTATATGAGCGCGACCTCCCGCGGACGGGGGAACATACTTGGCGGCTATTGGAGAGCCTGGGAGGTACTTTCTGCCCTCTTGATTTACATTTCTGCTTTACATTACTTGCACATTGCACACACGGCGCATTTTACACTCTGTACCTTGCACTTTGCTCTCAGCATTTTGTATTTACAATTTGCACTCAGTATTCTGTATTCTGATGGCTACTGTGCTGTTTTCCACAGCTATGGATCTATGCGTACTTCCCGACACTAGCTCCAGAGCTCGAGGTGGAGATGCCTCCCATGACCCCTTACTCGCTGGTATTTGAGGGCCCGTATCGGCCGAGACCTCGGGAGTCTCTCCTCTATCTACGATAGCACTTCAATACAATACGACCATCAGAGGTATTGCAGAACTCTCAGTTCTTCATGTTTCCAACCTTTGATTTATCTTGCGCATTTACAATTTCTGATCAGCTTATGCATTGGTTATCCTCAAATCACATGGCAGCCTTGTGCACCTTTGGGTAGAGACCTCTGATTCCAGTTTGCCGGAGCCTGGGGTGCCTCTCGGTACAGGATCCTGTTAGAGGGGCCGGTTGGCAGGGCCTGGTTTTTAAGGGAGCGCTTCTTGCGCCAGACATGGGGCTACCCCGTTCAGGGCATTCCCTCAGCACCCCCAGATGACATGCGAACCGCTGCTAGGCTCCCTCCCCAGGGTGTTGTTGACGCCAAGTTGGGCACTGATGTACTTCTTCATCTGGAGCAGGGAGAGTACGCGACTTATCGTCACACATACTTGATGCCTTCGTTGACGGGAGTCCATACTCCGACGAGGAGACCCGCTAGTATGCCCTCATCGATCTGGGCTCGGGCTGCGGACATCCCTTCCACTAGCAGGGCTGGTACATCCAGAGGTAGGGGTGGATTGGTTCCC